TGTTTTGAGAAACGATGTACAAATGCGCTTTACACAATTGATGTGTGTATGGATTGGGATAACAGTTGTATGAGCCCCTAATAAAAAAATTAAAATAATTAAAATTAAAAAAATTTTTTTTAAATAATTAAAAAAAAAAAATTCTTCCTACCTGATCCCCATCTCACTTTCTATATATTCCATTTAGAATTAAGCATGCTTAATAGGTACTTTAAACCAACTGGCATTTACAGACTTTTTTTCCAGTGTGCTATATACACACATACAGCAGCTTTGTATAACTTATTATAGAGGAAGCAGTCCATTTGTACATAGACTAGAACTAGAAACAGTATGCCAAATTTAGAAATGTTTAAATGACAGTCAATACCCAGATATGATTACCATTAGCACCATCTGGCACATCCTTCCAAACTTTTTGTGTCCACACACACTTCTTAACCTAAATGAGATTATGATGTGTACTATTTTTTAAAACAAATTTCTTTAGGAAATAGTGTCTATCTTTTGGTTTCAGTAAAAATTTTCACCCATACTCTGCTCAGATCCCCTTCAAAAAGTTTGTGGGAAAATGACATGAAAAGATAACAATCTTCCATACCTTCCTTGAAGCCCACCCAATTTTTGGTCCAGACCAGTAATCCAGTTCAGGATCATACACTGCATCTGTATGCTGTGTATTTGTAGTTCTGATATAGTGACACTATTCAGTCGTTTTCCATTTATCCGTTGTAACATATGGGATAGTTAAGTAAGTATGAACTTTTCCATATGTAAAGGAACAAAGTAACATGCTAAGCTTTATATGAATTACTTCTCCATATAAGAAAGTCCTGCAAATGATTACAATTATAAAATAGTAACTTTTTAAAACTACCATATTATGGGCTTAGAAATTTTTATATGAACTCCCACTAAAGCAAGATAAGAATTTTAGTAACATCTGATTTTTTAAATGACCATGATGTGTAAGCACATATATTTTCTGACCGGAAAAGAAAACCCATGTCTTTCAAAAAAATTGTTTCCATCCTATCTATCCTTGGGATAGTGCCGGCAAGCACATAAAAAGTGCTTTGTTTAAAAAAAAAAGTGCTTTGCAATTGTGGATGGCTTCAGAGTGTGTGTATTACAATTTAGCTTTTTGAAATATCTGTGAAGGTTTGTGTGCTGTCAAAAGCTTAAGTAATATATATGACTTTAATGACCCATAGTAAACTAGTTTAATAAAATACTCCTCATCCTTGCAGTAAAGTTAAAAGTGTTTGAAATCTTACTAGTGGTTTAATAGTCACCATTTAACATTTGTAGGGCCAGGAAAGCTGCTTATAAGACTCACTGGCACAGAGTAAGTATATTCACTTTGAGACTGTGTGGGATGTGTTTATCAGTCTGCATAGGGAAGTTAAGTTCTTTAAGATGTCCACCTTTTACAAACCACTCTTAATACGAGTTTCTGTTTCTTCCTGTTAGTTTCCTAATATGACCTGCTTCAATTCTTCCTAAATTCTCTAAGTCAGTACTGTATATTAAAAGATCTCTTTGTCACATAACTATAGGCAGAATATTTAATTGCCCTTCCTGGGTAAAATGACCTTTAAAAAAACTTTCAAATCTTCATGTTAAACATTGTTCCTATTTGATTCCTTTTTAATACAGAAAACATAATAGCTATGATATACGCTTCAATAGTATTTGACATTGCCATGTAAATACCATTCCAAAATATTCTCTGCTGTGGTATAAATAAAAACCTAGTATTGTGTCTGGTATTAGCAGTAGCTTCTCTTAACTAGAAAAATGTTAAACAAGTAGAATACTTATATATATATATATACTGGGGTTACCCTCCCAAAAATGGAAAAAAGCACCACTGGGTGGAACTTCATAGTAGAACACACACACACCCACCCCGCCCCCCGCCCCCAAGGCAAGCACAGAGTTACTTGCACTGAGTTAGTGGACCCAGTGCAGTCGCATGGGTAGGTTCTCTTTGGTCACAGTGGATTTTTTCATTAAAGCAGTTTCGCTCAAACCTTGTTTGTTTGGTGGGTTTTTTTTGATGGCTGATTTAAGGAAACAGTGCAGCTGTGAATTTTTGTTTCCTGCTCAGGAAAAAAATGCCACAGAAACAGTTATGATGTTGAATACAGCTTACAAAGACAGTGCTATAGAGAAACTCAAATATACAAATGATTTCTCATTTCAAAAAAGGTCAAGGTCAACTGATGATAAAACTCATTCTGGACACAGTGAACTTCCCAAATGGACAAAAACCTTAACTTGTTGTGCATTTGGAGTTCGTGCCACCAGGTCAGACTGTTAATCAAACTTTCTGTTTAGAGGTTCTGAAAAGATTGTCTAACAGTGTGCAACAAAAAAAAGGCCTGATTTGTGGCAGACGGTACTGGTTTTGTTACGACAACAATGCACCTGCTCATGCAGCCATCTCAGTGCATCAGTTTTTGGCAAAAAACAGCATTCCTGTCTTGCCCCATGCAACTTACTCACCTGACCTTGTTCTGTGCGACCTTTTGTTTCCGTGAATGCACAGGGACATAAACAAGGGAGGGTGCTCTCAGCCCCCCCAAATGAGTTTGAAAAATGTTTCCAAGAATGGAAAAAAAAAAAAAAAGAATGGAACCACATATTTGATAAATGTATTAAGTGTAATGGAGAGTACTTTGAAGGTGATAAGGTTGTTTTGTACAAAAATTTAAATACATAATTTTTAGGGGGAAATCTGTTTTTTGGGGGAGTACCCCCTCATGTTAGATAGAGAAGCAAGATTTGTATCCTAGCACATTGGAGTGAAGGTGCAAGTGTCGGCACAGTGCTTTGTATTAACCCTGCTTCTATCACTATGGTCTTTGAGTAACACCTGTACTAGATTCCTGGTTATATAATTATTATGACCTTAACATCTCTGAGCCTCAGCTTTGTCATCAGTCAATAAAATTGGTGATAAAAAATATTACCTCTTTAAGTTTATGGTAAGAATTAAAATATACAGTATTCATTAAGGAGCTTGCAAAATTTTTTATAGATAATCAATGCTACTTCTTCTCCCAGAAAAGCATATATACATGTGAGTTTATGTTGTAATTGAAATTCACGCCCAGTTATGTAAAGAATTTTTTAAATAATGTAGCCTATTGATATGAGCAGGAATCCTGGTGGCAGTCTTTACTATATGTTGGGCTGCTAACTGCAGGGTCAAGAGTTTGAAACCACCAGCCACAGTTTGAGAGAAAGACGGGACTTTCTACTCCTGTAAAGTGTTAGTCTTAGAAACTTACAGGGGCAGTTCTACCCTGTCCTGTGGAGTTGCTATGAGTTGGCATCAACTTGATGGCAGTGAGTTAAGTTGTATAGCAGTTGGCTCCTATCTTCCCATCAGTTACTTTTACTCTTCTGGTGTTTTAGTTGGTGTCTTGATAGTCATTGTGGTCATAAAATATAAACTTATCTGTCAGCCTTGAGGCATTAAGCTCTCTTCAAACATAGATGAATTAGTGTGGCAAATTGTATTGCTAAGTAATTTTTCTAATTTTATTGTTACTGTCTACATAACCTAGCAATTTAAATATGTAAATAACTCTAGTATTACAGTAGAAGAAAAAGTGTCAAATTTTCACATAACTAGACTTAATCATAGTGTAATATTTAATATAATTTAGGCTTTTCCACAATTGAAAAATCTGAGTAAAAGGTTTGGAGAAAAGAATAGATACAGAGTTATGTAGAAACTTTACCATGAGTATACTTTGCTATCTAATACATCCTCATTCTTTTCTGTTTCAGAGTGGAAGCTCAGAATGAAATGGGGCAGCACATTCATTGCTATGTTGCAGCTCTTGCTGCTCACACTTTTCTGGAACAACCCAAGAGCTTTCGTTCTTCCCAATGGATAAAAGAACATGGTGAAAGACAGTCTCTTAACAGAAATAGCCTTCGTCGCCAAAATCTTACCAGGGATTGCCACTCTCGGCAAGTCAAGCACAATGGCTGGGTTGTTCATCAGCCCTGCCCTCGACAGTACAATTACTAAGATTTTCAAGTTTGTTGGCTTTTTTTGGTTTATGCATTTATGTGTGGGTGAGTGTAGCTGTACAATGAAGATGTCCTTTCACAGCCAATGGATGACCAATTGCATATTTTATGAGTGCGTTTAGACACTATCTTGAAAAACTTATTTACATGCTTGTGTATCACATAATGCCTTTTTCTTAACCTTTTTTTGTAAATTTTTTCAGAATGGTTTTGGAATTACAGTGTTTGGGGATGTCTTTAAATCTACTAAAGTTGACATGAGTTAGCATTTTAAAGACATTTCTTCCCAAGTGTGAGAAAAAATTCCATTTTATTTTGTGTTACTTAAATCTTTACAGTAAGCAAAAACTTATTCTCAGGGTCAGCCATACACTTTATTGACCAGTACTTGATAATCTTTTTCTGTATATAGTTTTTACACACTAACATGAGCATTAACATGTGATAGTTGCCATGGACATAATGAAATTATGGCTGAATTTTTTTTTTTTTGAAAGAAAACTTGATGTATTTCTGTGTGTTTGGGTTGGTTTTGTTTTTCCAGGTTAGTCATACAGTTCATTTTAGAATTCAGGTACAGTTAAGCTTCAGTGAACAATGTGGTCATTCTGATGCGATTATGTGATGTGGTACAGACATTATAGGTTTCGTGAGAGGGATTAAAGTTAACCTGTGAAATTTTATTTGGAAAAAATGTATGTCTATAGCTCACCCATCAGCCCAGTATTTGTTTTGCTTCTTTCCTCCTGACTCTGGCCACCTCCTACATCACATCAGCTGTTAATTTGAAAGAACTCTTCCAGGCACTTAAGTGACTTCATAGTTCTGTCTGACCAAAAGAGAAGAGTGGTAGGCTTTTTATTTCCAGATACCATGGTAAATCCTCCTCCATAATGGAGCCTGGCCTGCCACCTGCAAACATGGGGGGGTGGGGGTGGCTTTTCTTAGATTCTAAGCAAAGAACCACCAGTTGGCTTCCTTGAGTTTTCATTCTTTGTTTCACTTGGGTTTCAGGCAAAATATTAACCATTTTGGTGTCTGTTTTCTTCACCAACAGGGAAGTAATATTATTTACCTCCCTCACAGTATTAACTGTGAGGTTTGTGTACTGATTTGAAGTGGGGGTGTGTGCTGCCCAGGATTGGACCCTGTGTGAAATTCCAAGGGCCTCTCTACTGAATCTAGTGATAGGGTGGGGCCTGTGGTGGTTTTCTAAATAATGTTGGTGCTACTGAGGCCAGGTGCAGGGTTCTAGCCACATGTAGGCCAGTGAACTTGACACAAAATCTATCCCCTTACCTCTAGCCAGTCACTTTACACTTTTGCAGTTGTGATGGGTTTTGCCGAGCCATCCACACTCCCACTGATTTCCTCTTGAAATTGAGTAAACACCTTTAAAATCAAAAGCACAATCTACTGACAGCAGTATCACTTTCAATAAATAGCTTATTTTTTCAACTCCTCTGTAACCCTAGTAGTACACGTCTGTAAATGTTTTCAAGGAAAAAAAGCATGGTTATGTGAAGTGTTACAGTTTTCAATGACACTGTAGCAGATTTGACACGGAACAATGGGAGGCTTTTCTTTGGGGGGAAAACTGCTCTCTCCCGACTAGACTGGTGTGGCTGGAAATGGGAGCTGGCAGAAAGAGGAGTTAGATGGTGGAATGTTAGGCTGTTTTCCCACCGGCTGTGAAAAAGTGCCAGGGTATCTCTTTACCAGAGTCTAGATTCCTCCGGGTATCTCCAGACTCCTTCCATTTTTGAGAACCCCTTTATTTGTTTTCTAATTAGGGGCTATGTCTGTAACGTGGTCAAACTAAGCTAGAAGGTATTTTGCTACTGTTTTGCGTTACCAGAATAGGGAGTTAAGGTTCATGTTTTCCTAAAATTGTGTGTTTTACACCATATTTGTTATAGGGCCATACATAAGTTGGTAATGTGAAACAGATCACAAATGTTTCCTGGATGTAAGCCTCTATTCATGAGGGTGTCTTCCAAACAATACGTGCAAGTTGTTAGTACCTCAAAAGCTACAAACGCTCAGCCATGAGAATTGGTTGGACACCATGAAATGATTTGTATATAAAACTACAATGGATTTTTCCCCCCACCTTGAATTTCCTAAACCATTAAATACATCCACATCCTTATCAGTTATATTGACTCTGCCTCACCTGGACCTAACCTACTTTCATATGGTTTATACCTGGAAAATAAATACTTTCAGTCGTAGGGAGGTTTGGGGTTTTCTGTTTTCAGGGCAAGAGTTACCATATCACCTGTCATATGTTGCTGTGGTTTCTGTGTCAGTATCTAAAGTTTCTGTGTAAAATTGGAGAATTGAAGAAAATGGTTTACATAATTCAGTTGCAGTTCTTGGTCATTAGATGTTTATTAGACATCTACTATATGCAAGACACAGGCCAATAACAACACAGAATTATGCTGACCTGCTACGCACTCTTTGAAACGTAGCCAAAATGCATTCTGTAAGTTATTAATCTTCACTGTTGTAAATACTAGTGGTTTACAGTGTACATTGTGTACATCCCTTAAAATTCAAGGAGTGAGAAATGAGAGTCCTCTGAATTTAGTAGCTATGACACTTTCTAACCCTGTGATACAGAATGTTACTTGGAAGAAGTCTGGAAGACATGGTGCACTCACACAGGGCTTCGTGAATGAGTTTTCTTTGATTTTTTTAATTGCACCATGTCCTCAGAGCTTGTTTATGTTAATAAAGCCTTTTATAATGTACAATACATGTATTATTTTTTCTTCCTTAACTAATTGAATTATGTACTGCACTGTTAAATTGAAAGTGAACCATCTTATTTATCTTCTTTTGCAATACATCTGTATGGTTGCTTTTTTACAAATATGTTAGGCGAGAAGATGCAAAGTGATTAGATTTTTGGCTTCCTATTGCAAGGATTTTTTTGGTGTGTGTTTTAAAAACCTTATCCTGCATATTTTTTCTGATGCCCATGCAAATTGTTCCTGTTTACATAACCTTTCTGTTGCCATAAGTACTTTTCATTCTAGTGAGAAGACAGTTTGCTTCAAATTTGAGAGAACCTATGAGCATTCTCCCTTGTTTCTTGGTTCTCAACTCTGTGTAGCACACTGATTAGTAATCTTCATGTACTTATTGGCTGTTACTATGTTATTTCTCAAGAAAATATTGCTTCTAAATACTCTAATAAAAGAAAAAAAAGCAAGGAAAGTGTCTTTGTGACCCTGATTTTCTTTGAGTTGCAAACAAAAATGAAGGACTCCAACAAGATAGGCATTTAAATAGAATAGTGGAGTGTGAGCATTTCCAAGTACTGGGTTTTGCAGTTAGAATCAGTTAGTAGACTGCTTCTTGTACTGGGAGGCACCAGTTTGTAGACTTCTTCTTGTACTGGGAGGCACCAGTTTGTTTTTGTAATGTTACGTAAAATTTACAAGGCCCATACATATTGGTTAAAACCTTCTAAAAGTTGGGGCTATTCTGGATGGTTTCATTATCAGCCAGGCTGGTGTATTATGGCATCCTTATCGACTTCGTGCTTTATATGAAATGCTTTATTTAGAAAGCCTATTGAGTCCAGTGGTGTCAGCCTTGCCATGCCCCAATTTCACTTGAAAATTGACACCAATTGAAATGATCTGGGCTGAGGAGAAGCAGGTACAAGAAAGCATACAGATAAGGATATCTTTTTTAATTTGGAACTGTATCCTTCACATGGAAGAAGTAAGTTACTATTCATAGAAAGGCAGCTTAGTGGAAAACATTTTGTATTTAATTTTTTTCTTGCATCATTTTGTGTGTGTGTGATTGTTCTTTGCAGTTTTGTTCTATATTTGCCTGAAATTTGGCATTTTGTTCTTTAAGTAGGTGGACTTCTAAAAACCAAACCAGCCATTGGGGTAGTGAGAGGTGTACGTTTTCAAGTTTGGTGTGTCTGAGTGGTTTTGTTTGCATTTTGGTTGTGTTCCTCCACAAGTTTTTAACTTAATTGATAGTTGTGTGTTAATTTTTAAGTGGCTTTGACTTTATTTTTCCTTAAGTAAAATTGTGAACACTTATCACAACACTCATCAGTTATGGAGAATGGTATTGTAGAGTGTAATATGTGCCTTATTAATGTGTTTCTGGACACAAGGTTGTTTTTGTTTTTGTTGTTCCCAGCAACTTGAAAACTCAAAAGGGACATTTGGTTAGGTTATAAACTGTGTATCAATCTATGCATAAAAGGCAGCTTGTTGTTTTCTTGAGCCACTGTCTAAATTGTTTTTTCTGTTTTTATAAAAATTTTTATACTGAATTGGTTCATAGAGGGTCAGTTTTATACGCAGACTGAACAATACAGCACTTTGCCAAAAATAAGTGTAGCATTGCCTAATTAAACATTGTGTATTAACGCCAGTTCTTTATAATTGGGGTCAGTGGGTACATTTTGCACTTTCTGGATGTTACAGTTTTTAATGTCAGTCAATAAAAAAAGTCCTTTAATGTCACACTTGTCAGTTTCTCTTATTTTATCTTTATCAGCATTAGTCTTAAAATTACATACAACTTAAAATGATTTGCTCTTTAGTTTTAGTTTCTTAGAAGATGTAGTTAATATACACTATAATATGTATTTTAAAAATCTTAGATATAATTAATAAAGTTTCAACCTAAAGTAAATACTCATACCTATCTCCCAAAAGGAACATGAATTTGAGTTTGACATCTCCCCTCAGTTACTACCTTCTTGCTAACGAATCTACATTAACAAGCAAATAATTTAATATAGTGGTTCTTGGCCTTTTTCAGGCCAGCTTGTAGAAATCTCAATGATGGTTCTTCTCCCCATATAAATGCAGCCACAGTCTGACATAATAAATATGTTAGGGCAATGGTTCTCGACCTTCCTAATGCTGCGACCCTTTCATACAGTTCCACATGTTGTGGTGAACCCCCAACCATAAAATTATTTCGTTGCTACTTCAAAACTGTCATTTTGCTACTGTTGTGAATTGGGCGAACCCTGTGAAAGAGTCGTTTGACCCCCAAAGGGACATAACCCACAGGTTGAAACCGCTATTAGGGTAATATGACCTTCCCTGTTGCCCACTAATGTCCCCTATTGTGGAAGCCAAGTGAACATTCAGAATTCTTTAATAGGAAACCCAAAGAATCATTCCCAACATGAATGACCCCTTAGGGGAAACTGGCATTTCTAGAACGGAAGCCTATCACAAGACAAGTTTTCATTACCTCTGAAACCCAGAGTTGAGATGAAAAGTTGGGAGGAGATGGAGGAATCACCCCAAAGATGAAATAAGGTCATGGAAGTCCTTAGAACAACTTAAAATTTCTGGCATGTCTGCTAAAGAGTTCATGTTTACTAAGTCCACTGACAAGGTGACTTAGAATGGCTTGGCTCTGTCTCGAAGGCAATGACTGCATGGGATCTAAAAGTACAAGTAAGAAAATGCAGGTGGTTAAAAAAAAAAAAAATGCAGGTGGCTTGTGGGATGGAGACTTGATATAATTCCCTTGCTCCACTCTCTTCAGATCCCCAACCAAGTGCTTATCAAACATTAATATGCAAATTACTCACCTGAGCAGGGTTATTAAAAATAGAGATTCTGATCTAATTAGGTCTAGAGTAGGGCTAGAAATTCTACATTGCCAGCACATCCTTGGTGACCTGACCATTCTCATGAACCACATTTTGACCCAATAGTTCACCAACTGTAGCATACGCCAGAATTAGCTGAAGCGTGCATTAAAACAAAGATTGCTAAGGTACACCTCCATAGTTTCTAATAGAGTTGCTTTGGAATGGGGCTTGAGAATATTTCTAACAATTCTCCAGTGAATTTGCCATTGCTACTCCCGGGAACATGCTTTGAGATCACAGCTGTAAATCACTGCTGGTCTTATCTCTGAGCAGATTTTAAATTTGATTTCAGAAAGACAATAGGAGTTATCCTGGGAGAAGACCTCAGTAGGACTTGTGGTGTCTGTTCTTCCCTTAGTGAAACAATCATCACACTACTAATAACCATAGTAGAGGTTACTAAGAAAGTGTGTTCAGTATTAAGAAAAATATCGTGTAAAGCAGAGATCTGTTTTACATTCTGCATCCATTTCCTTTTGATAAGGAGCATCCCAATTTTTCCTTGGGAATCTTCTATTCCTCTTTGCATAATCCATGTTTGTTTCACATGGCATTAACTACTCCATGCTTCATCATAAGCCTATGAATTACACATGGCCAATCAGATAATGAACAATTTCACCATTGAGAGAAGATGGAAGAAATACACAAGATCACTGTACCAAAAAGAATTTCAGAAAGTAGTATGTGACTAAGAACTGATGGTACTGAAGAAGTCTAAGCTGCACCAAAGGAATGGGCAAGAAGCAAGGCTCTAGACATAGAATATTAAGAGAGATGTTTCAAAACAGGGATGCTATCCTGGGAGCACGCATTCACCTATGCCAAGAAATCTGGACAACAACCTGGCTAACCCACTGGACGAGCCCCTTATTTGTGCTCATTCTAAAAGGTAACCCATTAGGGAAATCCACAAACAACACCGTTAAAATTACAAGTAAATTTTGCTGAAGATAAATGAAAAACATTTGCAGTAGTACATCAACAGGGAAGTGCCAGAAATTCAAGCTAGAGCAAGATATGACAAAATAACAATTTATGAACTATCAAGGGCTCATGAGGGAGAGGGGAGCGGGGAGGGAGGGGAAAAATGAGGACCTAATGTCGGGGGTTTTAAGTGGAGAGAAAATGTTTTGAGAATGATGTACAAATGCGCTTTACACAATTGATGTGTGTATGGATTGCGATAACAGTTGTATGAGCCCCTAATAAAATGTTAAAAAAAAAATTCAAGCTAGATTCAGAAGAGGGCATGAAATGAGGCATACCATTATGGGTGTCAGATTTCGGGTAAGGGCAGAGATTATCACAAAGATGTTTGCCTGTGTTACACTGACTACAAAGACTTTCAGCTGTGTGGATTATAATACATGATGGCTAACGCTGTGAAGAATGGAAATTCCAGAACACTGTGTTCATGCAGAACCTATACGTAGACCACGAGGCAGTTGTTTGAACAAAACAAGGGTTATTGCATAGTTTAAAATCAGGAAAAGTGTATGTTATGGTTGTGCCCTTTCAATATAGTTATTCAATCTATGTGTTAAGCAAATAATCCAAGAAACGACTTTTTGAAGAACATGGCAGGATTGGAGAAAGAATCATTAACAATGTGTGATATGCAGATAACACAACCTTGCAGGCTGAAAACAGAATACTTTCTGAGAAGAACGAAAGCCTACAGACTTCAGGATGGATTGTACGTCGACATAAAACAAGAATCCTTGCACATGGACCAATAAGCAACATGGAGATCAATGGAGAAAAGACTGAAGTTGTCAAGGATTTCATTTTCCTTCGATCCAGTCAGTGCTGCTGAAAGCAGCAGTCAATAAATCAGACAACTCAATGATAGCAAGATGGCAGACACACTATCAGACCCTTCACAGTGGTTCTCAACTTTCCTAATTCCATGACCCTTTAATACAGTTCCTCATGATGTGGTGACCCCCCCAAACATAAGATTATTTTTGTACTATTTCATAACTGTAGTTTTGCTACTGTTATGAATCGGGTGACCCCTGTGAAAGGGCCGTTCGACCTCCAAAGGGGTCATGACCCACAGGTTGAGAACCGCTGGTCTACACCAAAGAAATGAGATTCATGAAAGTGGTTTCTTTCATCCTTTCCTTCTCAGCTTTGATTTGATATTTTCCTCTTTTTTATTTTTCTTTCATTCTTTTCTCTTGTTTTATTATTCTTTGCTCCTTTCCCTCTTTTTTTGACTATATTTTTTCTCTTTCCAATTTTTATTTTGCTTCCCTATTTTTTCGTTTTATTCACTATCATCGAGTCAGTTCTAAATCACAGTGACCCAATAGAACACGGTAGAACTGCCGCTGTCTGTTTCCAGACTATAATTGTTTGGGTACAGAAAGCCTCCTTCCTCTTCCTCCTAAAGGAGTGGCTGGTGGTTTCAAACTGCTGACCTTGTGGTTAGTAGCCCAATGAGTAACCACTACACAACCAGGGCTGTTATCAGGAGAAGCCAGTCCCTCACACTTGGACATTCTTGGTAAAGTGGAGGGGCAGAGAAAAAGAGGAAGTCCCTCAGCAAGATGGGTTGACACAGTGGCTGCAACAATAGGTTCAAACATCAGAACAATTTGAGAATGGTGCTGGACTGGGTAGTGTTTCATTTGGTTACACGTAGAGTCACTATGAGTCAAAATGGATCCAAAAGCACAAACAACTTTTGTTTAGTTATTCTTCTTGCTGTTTGTTGCTTGCCTGCTTTCCTCTGCTTACATTTTTATTATTTTCTTGTAACTTTGCTTTGATCCTATTTTTCTTGTCCTACCTCATGGAGACAATAATTGTGCCCACAAAGTGAAACTACACCTGTAGCTCCTACAGCCCCACTTAGCCAGGGAAACTACCCACTCCTATACCACCTGCTCATCTACAGACAGCAACCAACACCAGCCAAACCTGCCCTCAACTGTGTTACACAAACAGAACTCTACAGACACTCACCTCTATCACACCTGCCAGGAAATGGGTAGTGGCTACCTAAGCACACACCAACAGGCAATCAACAGTGAAGCATAAAAACAACAGCATAAGTCTCAGAGATAACAGACTATTTCAGTTCACACCAAGACAACAAACGTGGTTCATGTAGTCAGATCTTTCTCAGATAAAAAGGGCATTGGAACAACCTGTTAAGAAAGTCAAAAGAATTGTATTTAGGTACTTTCAACAGATTGAAAGAATGATTGAGAAAGCTAGAGAAAATAGCAAGGGAAATGCAGGAAAAACTTTAGAAGAATTTAGGAAAACACTATAAGAACTGACAAATGAAAATTTTGAGAAAAAAAAGTTAAAACCATGCAAAAACAACAAATAGAAATCCAGAAGATTGATACTAAAAGTTCAAAAATATAGGGCAGGATCAAGGGGAACGTAACAAAGAGGAAGTGCTGAAATCCTGGTGGGGACTGAGCATGATAGTGGGACAGGAGGAGAATCAAGG